AACAACAAAAAAAAAACAGAAAAATTGAGGCAGGAAAAAATCGATGAAAGGTTCCAGGCCTGCAGGAATTACCACCCCATCACCTGAAATTATTGGTATTTAAGCCCACTTAAAATAAATGTTTAGGACAACGTTTTCTAGATAGCTGATGACTTTCCCGCCAAACAGTGTAATGGCCCCAAACTGCAAGATGAAATTTCAAAACTCAATTAAAAACAATAGAAAAATTGAGGCAGGAAAAAATCGTTGAAAGGTACCTACAAACAGAGATGGCATGCAAAGTAAGCCAGCAGACAAGGTCGGTAATCCCCCTTAAACTGCACGAATCAACGAACAGAATATTCAGGTCGTTAACCAACTCGGAGGAAATTTAACATACGACAGAAACCATTTTCCGGGTTCGTTATGTCTTGAAATTCTATCTGATCGTATGAGCCTCGTATGCTAGAGGTGCAGGATCCCATGTTGCATTTGAAGACCCTTACAGGCTAGATCAAATGAAAAGGTCATTGGGTACTTCTCTTCCAGAGATTGGAGACCGAAAAATCGTATTTTAAGGTACATTGAGGTTTTCACAGCAAAAATCAATGACAATTGGACCGAGTTTAGCAGAAAGGAACCAACCCACATTTTGGAAAAAATTGAGTTATGAGTGGTTTCGAACTCAACCACTGCTCCACTATCTATGGCCAAAAATTCAAAGTTTTTCTTGGAGCAAATTTTGCAGAGATTGAACTTGAAGTTTATCTTTTACATTGAGTCTTGTGCAGCAGCTAAACTTTAAAACCCTTTTTCTCGGTTCAATCCCGATGTGGCTTGATTCCTTTCTGTTTAACTCCGTCCAATTACAAAACCGCCTTTTGACACCGGAAGTAAACGATCATATCCGGTGCTGTTCTTAACAATTCTAATTCCACTGTATAGTCAGAAGAGTGGACCCTTTGAAATCAAAGGACGTTACAACGGCTGAAGATTTGGACGAACTTATTGTTAGTTGGACGAATTCATGTTAAAAGGAACTATGTGAATTTGCGTGCAAGATTCCTGCTTGTTGTTAATTGTTTTTCGGAGTGACTTTTCAATTCTGATGGCAGCGGCTCTTCACCGTGGTCCACGAAATTACTTTCATCCATTCTGAAGTATCTTAACATAAGCTTCATGTGACAAAATTTACACAGGAGGATTCCGTTCGGGGCACGTATATCCTTTATCTCATTCAATCAAGATCAAAGCCACTTTTTTCATTCAATTCCGTAGTCCCCGAGGACAAATTGCAGGTCAAAATATATTACTTAACCATTTGGCATTTACAAGAAAACGTTCATTAGAGAAATAAATCGTTTCTCTCAAGAAATTAAAGTGCAAGAAGAGGTGGATTCAACAAGGAACGACACTTCTTCCGATTCTAATATCCCTGACATGGATCAAAAAATCCTCAATGCAGTTGAGGAAGTTTGCAATGTATCATTTCTGCGGCGCCCCTCCTGGCTTTTTATGCTAGAATTGCTAGAAGTTCATTACCTAAATGAGGTGCATTCTAAAAGAGAGCTAAGCATATATACGGCTAGCTATAAATAACCGAAAATATTGCGCGAAGATTAAGCTCATTCTACTTTTTATGTTTTCACGCAGATTCAGATGCTTGATTCTGTAGTTTTTCTACTCTAATAGCCAAGACAAAGACTCTTGGGACAGATTCTCATTATCTAACTTTCGATAGATAAGTTGTAGAGACTCGAAAGGAAACAATTTTCTCGTGAAGTTTATAAGTTATCTCTGCTTATTGACACTCAATGAAACAATTATTACCTACTGGAAAGTATGGTCGAAAAGTCATGTCGAGCATCCCTACTAATATAAACTTAATCTTCCAGAGAGAGAGAGAGAAATATGCGTCAGTGTATGAGTAATTCAGATTAGAGTCTGAGATTAGAATGAAACTTATTTTCAGCTGTAATGGACACAGTTTAAACCCCAGTAGCCGATGCCGTTGAATGTTAATGTTAACTTTACACGGAGACTTAAACGCAGGAAAAAAGAACTTGAGTACCGATTGGCTTCTCTGTTAAAAGATAAAATATGATTAGAAAGTTAGAAATGATCAGGCCTATTGCACGCATTTTTGCTAAAAGAAACTAAGTTGCATGGAAAGCCTATGCATATAGTTCCTTTTAGCACAAATGCGTCCTATTCAATTAATAGCAAACCAATTATCTTTTCGTTTCAGAAAAATGTGACATTCATCAAGTGCGGATAAATCCATGTCCAGATGCTAGGGAAGGAAAACCTTGTAGGATGTTCCGTGGCACAAATGGTAGCATAGAATTTGACTTCACTCCCAGTAAGTACTGTATGCAGTAAATTAAATTATTGTCTATATTTTTATTAACCGTCTATTCCTTTTGAAAAAGACTTCAGCTACGACAAAAAATACTTCTGAAGAAACCAAAACGCACAATCACACCCGCACAAGACGATGAAGAGAAAAAATGCTAGTGCATAAGGAAAAACACTCATTGAAAATTCTTAGAATTTTGCAAAAGGGTTTAGTACACAAATCGTGTTACTACAAATAATATGCAGAAACTGCAGATCCATAGAAAGAAATAATAAACAGCATAATTTACCTCGAACTTCATTTACCACTGTTTACGTACTGGAAACGTTGAGAAAATTAGTAAAGGCAACACTTTCACTAATTTTCGAACGTATTTGGTACGCAGTTGGGTGCAAAATCCTAACTCGCAGTGAAATTTTTTTTTTCATGCCATGATGATCACGCCATTCGTCGTGGTAGTGTAACACTTATAATACACGATCAAACCGTGCCATCAATATATCTAGGTCAAGTGCTGTGATTGGCCCAAGTCATCGAAAAAGGCAATCACAACACCTTACTTTGATATTCTGATAGCTGGGTTTGATCGTGTAAACAAGCACGGTAAGTATGCATGAGCAGGTGACTCTGAACAGGTGTCATACGAGCGTGCGATTTCTGTTCCAGAATTTTCCGGTAGTCAAATCGGTGCTCGAGTCTACTGGGCCTCGTGGTTCGACGTGCCTTTTCTCGATATGAACTCTGACGGATGCTTGTATACGACCTGCCCGATGGAGGCAGGCAAAAATTACACCCTCAAGTACGGAATCCTGATAAAAACCTGGTATCCGACGGTAAGTTCTGGTATATTTTCATGCTAGTTGTTGG